TAGCCATCTAGTCCAGCTTCCTGCAATAAGCAGTGGCTTCTTGTCATGAGTGTGAGTTTCAGACAGCGTTTATTAGGGAAGCCCTCACATTGAGCCATGAGGTGCAGAAAGGACCCCCTTGCTTTATAAATTCCTGCTCAGAGAGGAGCCAAGGTGCAGCTGAATCTAATCTTAGCCTCAGACAGTCAGTGGTTTAAGTTTAAGAAATTATAGAGGTGTGATTCAAGTTTTGTACAACTTTGTCCTGTAGGATAAATGATGATAAACCAGATCTACTTATATAAAAATGAATATTACGATAAATTATTAGACAAGGAGATCTTACTCAGAATTACTTACTACACACTATAGAAGATACAACTACTATTATAGGATGGTACAGTGCAGTCTATCAAAGCAACTATATTAAAGCAATTCTAAATAAAACTAGCAGAAAGAAATAGTTATTAAAGCAGACATTGATGTTATTCACCCATGCCAATGACCATGGACAAAATCTCTTTCACTCGGCCTTAAGGACTAACTCTGAGGGGCGTCCCCATCCAAAGGAGGAATCTTCATACACACTCCAAGAAAGGATATGGTAGAAGAACCTAACCATATGGAAATGGACTGGACTTTTATAGTGTACAGTGACTGACTGCCACTCATATATCTCCAGGTCAGCTGAGCAGCTTGTTTGCCAAATTTTTACCTCACTGTCAGGATGCTAATTTGGGGGTTGATGGGTCTGACTGTTGTCAGAATTCAACACCAAAACCAGCTTGATGCCCTCTCTCAATCCACCACTGGACTAATAGCCTTGTAAATAAATAACACCTTGTCCAAGTTGCTTGACCACATTCCAGGGCAGGGCATCCTGCTAAATGTCTTCAACTAGATCAGGTTGCTCTGAGCCCCGTCCAACCAGGCTTTGAGCACTTCTAGGGATGGTGTGTCCACCACCTGTTCCAGCACCTCACCACCCTCACCATAAAAAATGTCTTCCTTACATCTAGTCTAAATCCGCCCTCTTTCAGTTTAAAGTTATTCCCCCTACCGCTACATGCCCATGTAAAAAGTCCCTTTGCAGCTCTCCTTTAGGTACTAAGAGGCTGGTATAAGGTCCCTCCAGAGCGCTTCCTTCTCCGGCCTGAACATCCCAGACTCTCTCAGCATGTCTCCGCAGGAGCGGTGCTCCAGCCCTGTGATGATCTTTGCCTCCCACCTGTGGACTTGCTTTATTTAACAGGTCCTTCCCGTGCCGAGCGCCTCGGAGCTGGGCGCAGCACTCCAGCTGGGGTCTCACAAGGCAGAGGAGAGGGGATAATGTCTTCCCTCCCCTGCCGGTCACCG